CATCTATGCAATCCACCTGCTCTTTCTTGGGCAGCATGGAGATGTTGTTCTGGAATGGGTAGGGCACCCATTGTTCCTTGCAACGGACGTAGGAGACACGTTGATGTGTATACCAGTCATCTTCTTTGGGCAGTGCCTCGGCAATGCAGTCGTCGAAATACTTGTAGTGCGAGAAGATGACATGCCCGCCAACATCGTAGAGCTAGGAGCGTGTCAGAGTAAGTTCTTAAGAAGCAGCGAGACTAGATTGGCGACGAGACTTACAAAGCCTTCAGGTGTGATATCTGTAGAAGCTAGTCCTCCAGGTGTTTCGCTCGAGTCAATGATCATCCATGATGGGCCGTCCTGCGCTTTGAGTGAGCTTTGCCCCTCTCACTGCGTATCGGTGGGGTCGCACCAACTGATGTAAACGCTTTCCAGCTCCTAAACCAGTCGGGCCAGCGCCAATGACTAGTACATCTACGGAGCTGGGTTCATTAGCCGTATCCCTGAAGGGGCGTTGAGTGGCAACACCTACATGTCTGATTTCGTCATTGTGTTCTTTGTGACGCTGTGTTCTTTTGAGATCTGAGAGTCCGGTGCTCAAGATGGGGAGTATGTCTGATGGAATGATGTATTTACAGAAGCATGGGAGGCATTGAACGAGCGACGGGTTAAAGAAAATGACAGGAGTGAATAAAGTAGGTAAGTGAAAGATATATGAGTAGAGGCTGATGTAACGTTGGTGTTGATCCTCGAGCAAACCCTTAGCGTAAAGTGTCTTTTTTTGGCCGGGATCTGCGTGACCGAAATCCCCCGGACGAGACTTCCAAGCCCCAAATATTCAGCATTGCTGTCGCTCTACGAATACGTCTGATCAGACAAAAGAAGAAGGTGACCTTGACCACAGCTCTGGAAGCCGACCTGACCGAGTAGGCTTCTATCCTGTTTACAGACGACTGCCACGTGCATTGGTGTCAGCTAATTAGAGGCAGCTCGCTTAAAGATCGGGACATTCGTAAGGCAGAATTGTCGAGTCAATGGGTTTATTGCTAAATCTTCAGAACATCGGACACTCAAAGTAGCATCAGAGGCAAGTCCGGGTGAGTCAGAGTACCCGTATGTCAATCACCAAAATTAGCTTCGAGTACACGGTCTCTCCTTCTCCAAGTCTCTTTTTGGCGGCTGTTGAAGGTCTATCAAAATTCTGATTGCATTTGGTGCACCATGGATCCTCAAGCCTCGCCTGTGCAATTGGCAAAAAGAATCGAAGGCAAGCCCCCTATTCGCTTTCTCGATCCCACCACTGCCTATAACCTATGGTCGGAGGTCTACGATACCGATGGCAATTTTCTACAGGCGCTTGACACGATTGAGATGCGGTCTCTAGTTCCCAAAATGGTATCTCGGATATCTTCAAGTCCTCCATGGAAGGTCGTAGATTTGGGATGTGGCACTGGCCGGAATATGACACGGCTGTTGGACCTTCCCTGCTCTATGGTGGTAGGTCTTGACGCAAGCTCAAAGATGCTCGAGAATGCCAAATTGAGGATCAATGAGCACATGTCGCAGATCAGCAGGGCATCTGAAGGAGCTCAAGGAGCCCGATTAGAGCTTTACAATCTGTTGGGCAGCTACCACATACCGTCCTGCGCTTTGAACGCGGATGCGCTCATTTCAACGTTGGTTTTAGAGCATGTTCCCCTCTCCATTTTCTTCGAGAAAGCCTCGGAGTTGTTGAAGCCGAGCGGGCTTGCCCTAGTGACGAACATGCATTCAGACATGGGAGCGATCAGTCAAGCGGGCTTCGTGGACCCAAAGACTGGAGAAAAGGTGCAGACGCAGAGCTTTGCTCATCATTTAAATGACGTGGTTGCCGAAGCTCAGAAGCAAGGGTTTGAAGTTGTTGGCGAGGTCCTGCAACGAGCTGTGGATGAGGAGATGAGCGAGGTGCTGGGGATGAGAGCTAGGAAATGGATTGGTGTAACTGTGTGGTTTGGAGTTTGCTTTCGAAAACAGGCATGAGGAGCTAAGTATGGCATGAGTGTTGGGTCCAATTCTATGACGATTCTTCTCCTTTCCAGATATGTTTCACTCATCACCCTACATTTTTGGATATTGTTTCTACACATTGGGGTTTGGTGTTTGAGTTTCGTTTTGAGTACGGTATGTCAGCGTTGCGCTGACCCAAAAAGGACTCTTCCCTTGTGTATTCAGCGGGGTCTAAAGGGCTTTAGCGAGCCTTACTGATACCTGAGATCTTCAGGTATAGCGTTGCGGATTTGAGGACGAATCCTTTGGGAGAGGAGGCAATTGTTAGCATCAGGTTCCAGAGGGGACGCGAAGCGCAGACACATTGTTAGCAACCCGGAAGCTTAGCCGTTCGGCCAAAAGCTTATGCCTGGGGGTGTCCGCTTCCCGCGTAGATTACCCTTATTTGGGCTTATATTCCGGCCTATGGCCCCCGTGAGGACTTGATCCTAACGATCATTTCCTCCCTTCACGAGGCTCGTCCTCGAGGCCAGAGGAGCCCATCGCTCCGGGGCCACAACTACCCCGAATCAAGTGATTTCTGAAGGCAACCTTCCCAAAACACAGGATTCCTGCTCATCCGAAACATAGAGGTATCGACCACGAAACACAGAGAGGCATCTCGCCTTGTACCTAGGTACCTGTACATGGCCCGCAGGCACTAAGCTGATCAGGCGCTGTAATAGGGTCTACTCCCGGGCGTCTCGCCCGAGCTACAGGGGCTCTGTGCTTGGAAAAGCACCGAGGCGTCTCGCCCGAGTGATAGGGACTCTGTTCTACGGGGTTGCTACCTCGAAAATGTCATCTGTATAGGGTATCGTGCCAGAAAAGCCTAGTTGTAGGGCAAAATGCTTAGTTGTAGGGCAGAATATCTGCGCTTCGGAGAGCGCTTCGGCGTAAACTTTTTCCCGCGTTATAGACTAGAGGTCTCTTCCCTTACGAGGCTAAGTGCCTAAGAGGTTGATGTGTGAAACCTCAATCCTCGTATGCACCCATTCCTCTTTCAAACACGACGAGAAAAGCTCGGGATAAAGGATTCATTTGGCTAAGATCAGCTTTTTTGAGCTTTTATACAAACGATTTCACTACTGTCGGAGGAGGGAGGGAGGGAAGCTTCAGAAGTCCTCATTACATCATCTATTTTGCCCACGATGCCTCCCAAAGTTGCTTTCTTGATGGCCAATTACGGGCACGATCCAACAGGTAAGACTTCCAAAGTCAGTCAAATCCGCGTGTTACTGTCGCTTACATTCAATCTCAGAAACTGCAGTGCCATATGCAGAATTTAAGAAAGCCGGCTTCGAGATCGATTTCGTCACGGAAAAGGGGAACATGCCCGAATGTGATAGTAAGATGCTGGAGGGTATGACACAAAAATTACTCGTAAGTTGCATTATGACTTTCGGATCTGAGACATGTCCTCACGTCCTCTCCTTGTCAATAGGGTGCTACGCAAGAGGCAATTGATTTGTATAAAACCATGAAAGAGGACATGAAGAATATGAGAGCTCTTGCATGGGCTGATGAGGGGTTTACCCTCAACCCTTATGACCTTGTATTCCTGCCAGGCGGACACGAAAAGGGTGTTGTCCAAGTGATCAACTCGCCCGTGACCCATAAACTTATGGTGGACTATTTCCCTCAAACGCGGAAGCCTTCGAAGAAGAATGTTGCAGCGATATGCCACGGCGTGATGGTACTTTCAGAGTCATCTTTCCCGAACGGCAAGAGCGTTCTGCACGATGCCACCACCACGGCGCTACCTGGCTTCATGGAGCAGTCGATCTTCTGGGGGACTAGGCTCTTCCTTGGAGACTGTAAGGCACTTTTCAAAATCATCTATCTATTCAAGACTGCTTTTTGAGTTGGGAGACATGTTGGAGGAATAAATTACCCGTTTACCGTCCTTTATACTCCTCAAAAATGTCTTATTACTCAACTCTTTATCTACGAACGGTAGGACTGACTCGCAAATGTGCTAGACTACAAAACCTATGGAGCTGGGTCAGAAAGTGTACAGGCTAGTGTAAGTCCGACAACCAGTCACATTACTCGCGCTATTGTCTGACCCGACCCGAAATCGTGTAGGTGGAAAAACGGCTCGACGATCCCAAGAAACAGTACTTCAACAGTCTCTCGTCCACTCCGTACGTCTGAACACGTCGAAACGCCGACTGGGCTTTGCTAATGCTCGTAGCTTTGTACGCGAGGACGAGAATTACAATTACATTAGTGGACGCTTTCCACCAGACGCTAAGCTGTTGGCTGAGAAGACGATTGCCCTTGTAAATCAGACTGTTGCTTGAACACATATCATCTGCGTGTCCAGTCATGCTTTTAGCGTATCCATGCGCGATCTCCGTTTTGCTGCTGCGATTCTCTCTGTTTGCAGAGCGCGATTTCAGAAAGATATGCCGATGCCAATGTTGTCATGCATAATTGGACAAACCACAGAACACTGCCATCCTGGTGCTCTACTTTGGCCCCAGGTGCTCGTGATTGTGTAAACCCAACGCTCATCACATCACCGCAACCCCGTATGCTCATCTCTGCCCGCTTTCCGGAATGATCAAAAAAGCATGAACGAATCCCGTCCTGTTTCGTGATCCTTGCTTGGACCAGCAATAAGGCTTCTGGCAAATCCATTGCTCTTCTGCCCCGGCTGCCAGATGCTAGATTCCCACCACTCCAATCTCCAATCAATTCTCCTCTCCGCATTAATGCCAAACTACCAAGGCTGCATGCACCCAGGAGTGCCATAACCAGCATGGAGTCCGAACATTCAAGATGTTTGCCCACAGTCTTCCCTATCCCAGCCAAAATCTTTTGGCCAGCCGCGTGCCAACCCGCCGTAGCATCACGGGTCCCCCATCTGTGCTCGGATGGGGCTTGTGCAAGGCGATGCTTCTCTCGTCAGACTCGGGCTGACCCTGCACGGCGTACATCCCAAAACCCCATTTCGGACAGTTAGGGACACAAAGTTGGGCCGGTCAACTGTCGCTCGATCTCAGCTCCCGCTCGGAAACACTAGGCGGATGGCGTTTAGCGATGGTTTCGTGATGGCATAGCGAGAGCGAGGCTGTGACCCTTCCTGGTCTCGTAGGGTGTGTGCGTGCGTGAAAGTTGGCGCCGGCTGACTGCAAGTGGCCGAGAATTGACGACTGTCCTGGATGCTTCCGGTGTCAAATCTTCGTCCTTTGCTTGCTTATCGTCTTGGCTGCTTGAGTCTTCGAGTTCTCCGGTCGTAGGCTTGTCGTTCAGAGCTCCAGTGTCGTCGGTTGGGTCCCCGACCAAAGGTTTGTGATCCGTCCAACGCTTGCTGTTGGCAGCAGAGATGGTACGCTGCTTTTCGGCGGCTCGACGGGACAGTTGCTCTGTAGTATCGTACAGAATGAGCATTGCTCTGAGCCGCTCGATGTCCGCCTCAAGATGCCCGGCTTATTTCCAGATCTTGGTGGGGTCTTCCCGAAGCTTTCTCCATAAGTTCGCCAGGACTGTTCGGACAGAAGTGGCTTTCAAGAGCCACGGTTCATCCCGTGTCCCCATTGGCATACTTTATCTAGCGGTCGAATGGCCATCGCCCACCATCTTGGCTTGCTGAATAGCTTCGATTTGTCCGGAACTCTGCTGCAAAACAACCAGAGAGGCCGGTCCGAATTTTCCATAAACCAGCGCCTCATTTTGGGGTAGCATCGCCTGCGTGGCTTGAGCGCAGTGTTAATTCGATGCAGTACTGTTAGCACAGAGATGAACCTGTCCATGCCTAAGTTGATTCTCCCTACTTCTGCGCGCGAGTACTTGTGAAGGTAATCGTCGAGGTGCTTTAGGACAAGAGCAATGTCGTGGTCTGTTAGTTCGTCGGGATCTGATGTCACAAGGTAGAGGCACCACATCAGACGGTCGAACATGGAATCTATTACTCTCTGTCATCTCCGCTGTGTATCACTTGGGATGTCCCGGTCCTTGAGCGAAAGCCCAATACTTTTTGGAACGACGGAATTTTTCCAAAGTACTCTTTCAGATCCACACAAGAACCATTCCTGAGGGTGGTAAGAAACGTCGAATCCAGACAAGGCAAGTCTATCCCATACTCTGCCGGTAATGACCCAGTGGTCGGTACTTCAACACTCCATCTATCGTGCTCTCATCTATTCTTGTATATTGCAAAAAGGTAATAGACTCTCAGAGCTCATATCCGAGAAACACACCAAGAAACAAAAAGGACCAGGCCCCGTGTACGCCAAGGACAGACATGGTAAAGCCGCGCGGAAAAGGGAAAAGATCAAGAAACCTATTCATGAGGTTCTTCCACTGGGATCTGTTCGATCGACAACAACCGAAGGAAGTGAGAACGACCCCTAGAAAAGATCAGCTAGGCCCAAGCCCAAAAGTGATAATGTACGGACCGAACCTCGGAAGGTGGAGCGCCCATTAATAGCTAGATCGGGGTACAATAGGCTGGGTGAAGCACGCCTGCCTTATTGGGGAGAGCCGCATTCTATATATATATCAGCAAAAATTCTCCGCCTTCATTGTGTGGCTGGGTGACACACCATCAACTCGGAAATATGACGTCGTTTGCTTTTGACATCTCTGTTGCTTTTTGCCATGATCTTCCTGTAATTGGATGCCGGTCTTGTATCAGACTGTCACCAATTCTGCCTAAAGCCGTTGGCACGCAGGTTGAGCTGCAACAGCTTTGATATTTTGAGAGTCTACGGACTAAAGTACATTGATATCAGTGTATCGACAATTCCAAATTGACGCCATAGCAAATGCTCATGTATGATCGGAGTAGTAAGGCCTCCAATTCCCTGCTTGATTGTTAGAATCCCAATGACGCTAAAATCCGTCCTCTCTCTTGAGTCCGCTGGCCCACTCTAATATACATATTCCATAGGATCTACGAAGGTTTGTCGGCACCTTTGATAGTGGAAGTCAAATAATTCGAGTCGTAGCCGACAGTAGGTGCAAGTCCTCCTAACAGTACGAAAAGGATCGTGAGTATGCCACCGAACACAATGACTTTTCGTAGGACAGGACGGTTGGAGCCGAACTCAGCCCAGAGGCGGCCAGCTTCCGAAAATTGTGCTTTCATGGTGGCGGCTCCAAGCTTATAGTAGACGAGTCCACCAAGGGCAATACTATAACCAAAGTATTGAAGAGGTGAGACTGGGGTGCCCCAGATGGCGATGGAGGCACCAACGAGCAGGATGTCCTTCAGAACGCCGCAGAGGGTCATCACCAGGCCCGATGTTCTGCCAATCTGAGAATGTTAGGCCATGCAAAATCATAGGATTGAGATTGCATACCAGGAACACCACTGAGACGTTCAACGCAAATGCCACCATTGCACTTGCCAAGAGTGTCCACAAACCCACATGGTATAGCTCCTCCATTTGGATTCGTGGTATTTCGAAGACCAAAGCCGTGCAGAAATTCATAATGGCGCAAACTGGGGCGAAGTAGTAGAGCGAGACCAATGGATCCATCTTGTACTCGGCGGAGCTTAATAGCCGTTCCACCATGACCAGTCTAATTGCTTCGAATAGGATGCCTCCAAGCTGAAAGATGACTCCCAGCATGACAAATTTAATCTCGCCGATTGAGGCGATAATAACACCGAGGACGATGAAGGATACGTTGAATAGGACTTTCAGATCGGCTTTGTGGATTCCCATAGCCCATCCGATAAGTAGGACTGCAACGGGTGTAGTAGCCTGTCGGAACTCATCAGAACAGCATTTGCCTCGGCGTGCAGGAACCATTGACAAACCTTCAACATCTGAATGAAAGCCACACTAAGGTACAGGTACGTCAAATTTCCGCAGATCAGTGACAAGCTGAAGAAGGCACCAATTGGTACAATGGCTCGCAGATAGACCCTGCCGGTCATTTTGACTGTCTTACGGCCATCGAGAAGATTTGTAGTGCGTGCCATGACCTGGGTCATCAGGGTAGCAAACGTAAGGTGCCAGCATGTGAGAGTGATGGCTACAGAGAGGAAAGGGCGGATCAGCTGAGCAAGAGGCAGTGTTTGAAGGTGAACATACGATAATCTGTAGGCTTCATGTCAGTGGAGTCAACAGGCAATGGTCTTCCGCAAGGCACTCACGAAATTTGGCATTGTCCAGGATCCATTTGTTGAAGAGGATGACACTGGAGCTCAAGGTGATCCATGTTCTGCGGCGGAACAGTCAGTCTCAAGGGTGTAGATTGTCGATGTGTGCGCGTGTCCTCTGCGCTGCCATTTCAGGAGCACCTACATTACGTAGAAAGCTGGGTGCAAGTTTGACGCTGGGACCTCTCTCTTCTCGACCTCTGGATTGACAGTCGGCAGGACTGGCAGGGTGGGAGTCGCTGGTCCATCTCTAATTATCTCTGCAGACATGCGCTCCTTTTCGGAGAAGGCTTTTTCAGGGTCGCCCATGTTGACTCTGGCTAGTTGGGCGTTGAAGAATGAGTGGATTTCGAACGGCCGCGACCGTTGATTGCTACCGACGCGAAACAGGATGAAGGAGCGACTTTGTTTTATTTATGATCAAGTAGGTGAGAGCATTGAAGGAGATGATGAAGATGATCGGTCACCGGTTATAGTCAGTCGTTAGAGGATGATGAAACACTTGTTATTATTGACATTCACCTACGCCGCCCTCGGCCGAGGGCCTTTAATTTAGGCCGGTTGGTAGAAGGCAAGTTGAAGCGGCAAGGCATGCCCAACGCTGATTCGTAAAATTCCATTCGGCATCTGTTGCTTGATAAAAGGCATATGTATGTAGTGTCTATTTCGTTACTTGCATCTCTACCGGTTATAAGAATAATAAATCATGTCATGTACGATGATGACTGGCATGCGTGGGACCCGCATCGCGAATAACATCCATACTCCATAACTCCATACACTACTGGAAAATGGCTTCGGACTTAGCTTTTAATCTGCCACGCCGCCAAATCATCTGCTTACAAACTGCTTTTCTTCCCACCCGTATCAATGACGTGACATCCTCCTCTGCTCATAAACCACATCTGCTTCGAGTCTAATATCACTTGTAACTGATATCCAATCAAGGTGAACGATCAAAATGCCTACAATCAATGGGAAGCAAGTTGGCCGCACCGGTTATGGATTGATGAGTATCTTCCCCCAACTCAACATCTGTTTCACGAGACTCAGCTGAACGATGGCTCAGATCTCACATGGCGTGAAACTCCTATTCCAGATGAGCAAGCTTTCGCAGCAATGAAGGCAGCCCTGAATTCGGGAGCCAACCTCTGGAACGGGGGCGAGATCTATGGCAAACCGCATGCCAACTCCCTCCAACTCCTCAATCGATACTTTACCAAGTACCCGGAAGACGCGGAAAAGGTGGTAATCAGCATAAAGGGCTCCATTTCACCCACCAGGATGGGACCCGACAACAGTGAGAAGAACATTCGGAGAAGCATTGATGAGTGTCTCAAAGTCCTGGACGGCAAGAAGTTCCTCGATCTCTTCGAACCTGCGCGGCAAGATCCCAATGTACCTTTGGAGGAGACTATGAATGCCATGGCCAAATATGTTGAAGAAGGCAAGCTTGGTGGCATCAGTCTCAGCGAGGTTACCGAAGACCAAATCAGGAACGCTGAGAAACTTCACAAAATTGCGGCAGTCGAAGTAGAAATGAGCCTGCAAAGTCCTGACCTCCTATATAACGGCGTCGCCAAAACGTGCGCTGAACTGGACATCCCATTAATAGCCTATTCTCCCTTGGGGCGTGGCCTATTGACCGCTACATTCTCAAAGCCTGAAGACATCGACAAAACCGACATCAGACATCATCTGCCGCGCTTCCAGCCTGGAAATATGGAGAAAAACGCTGCAATGGGCCAGGAGATAAAAAATGTGGCCAAATCAAAGGGCTGCACACCTGCTCAGGTGGCACTGGCTTGGGTGCGCTCGTACAGTGGAAAGGAAGGATTTGGCACCGTTATCCCAATACCAGGTTCTACAACCGAGGAGAGGGCTATTGAGAATGCAACTGAAGTGACCCTTGGCGACGAGGAGCTGAAGGAGATCGAGCAAATCATGAAAAAGATGGAACTAGCAGGTGGTCGATACTAAATCTGTGTGTTGAGTATGACCGAGTTCATAGGCGGCCATTACTGACGACTTATGTGCTATGAACAACATGAAGGTGTGCTTAATACAGTTAGCGACATCAAAAGCGGTATCACATCTCCTTTTCAATAGTGCATAGTTGACTACCGAGGGCTATGTGGGACCATATGCGTCTCCGCCAATCCTTCCGTGATGACAGCGTCAAATCCTCGCCAACCATCTGTAAGGCTATTGCAGAGGCCTACCATCCATCATCGTATGTTCTCGGCCATTTGTCTATTTCTGAAAATTGTGCCCGGGCAAGCGAGTGTTTCATCCTTAATCGCTGTTGTCGCCAATGCGCCAGTCCTCTCAGCTCATGCGCAGCAATGACTCGTGGTAAGACTCCTTCCGTCAACATGATCTTACCACAATCTTGACGCGCACTATTCCAGCTTTCGTCTGAGCTTATATACAACCGTTTAGCCCCCACTAAGTCTTCATACTCAGAGTGCACGTATTTGTGAAAACCCCCCCCCCAATCCTCTCTCAACCTATATGGTATCAGCATGTTCACTGTCAACCTTCCCTCACTCACAGCCCTCCTCGCCTTATCGACCCATACCCTCGCAAATGGAATCCCTGTCGTCGTCTCTCCTGGTCTCAACGTCTCTTCCAACCCCAACGTGACAGCCCACATCCCCTCGTGCACAAACCTCACCAACAATGCCCCTAGCCCCTACTGCTACACTAAGCTGCAAGAAACAGCCTACCTCACAAACTGGAACCTGACATCCCCAGAAATCTGCGCCCCGGACGAGCTCTGGTCGACATGCTTCCTGCGTTCGATATATGGAAAGCCGGGTCCAAACTGCACCACCCTCACCAACGACACCAAGACCTGCGAGCAATACAACTGCACCTCGTTATCGCTAAGCTCGGCACTGTGCCCCGAGCCGACGGCGTCAAACGCCACGTCAAACGCCACGGCAGAATCCGCCGAGGAATGGTACGGCGCCTGGAACCTCTACGCCCTCCAACACCACATCGCGACCTGGTCCGCCGCCCTCGCAGCCGACACCTCCACCAAAGCCATCCTCGCCGCCGTCCACCCTCGCACCCCCAACACCGCCACCTCCCTCCTCACCACCCTCATCCCCGAATACGGCCTCAACACCAGCACCGTCGCCGACGCCGCGTTGGTCAGACTGCTCGGGCTGCCGACGGGGAGGCCGGAGCCCGCGTACGGGAACGCGAGGGTCCGGGGCGAGAGGAGCTCGCTGTCGGGGCCGCAGTGGCAGGTGGCGCTGCGGACGCGGTTGGGGCAGGTGTTGGATCTGGCGATGGGGCGGTTTGGGGATTTTTTGGGGGCCGTGAAGGGTGGGGGGTATAGCGCGAGGGGGTTGGCGAGTGTGGGGAATTTGACGAGGAGTTTGAGGGATGATTGAGAGGGGGGAGGGTTACGGGATGTATGGAGCTGGCGAAGGGAGGTGGACGTTTGGGGGATAGAGTCGTCAAGGCGTGCAAGAACACCTATGTTAGAATTATGAGAAGACGAATGTATGGTCTGTTCAATCGTGATACATTGGAGAAAGCAAAATAAGAGCGCGAAAGCTAAGGATACCAGTACAGCATGCCACCCACAACCAATTCAATGCATCAGCGCAGTTCAAATACCCCAATGGCAGTAGTATCAGACTCCTCACAGCAGCGCAAGCCCAGCAGCCCCCATCGCCAACGCAGCCCCGACAACCTTCACCCGCGGGCCATTCGTCGGCGCCGGCCCCGCAGCAGTCTGAGTGATAATGCTCGCCTCCGCAGCCCCAATGCTCGAGAAGTAACTAATGTAGCTGGTCGGCACCGCACTGATCCAGCTTGGTTGTGCCCCGGCTCCCAAAACGGAGCTCAAGTAGTCCCCTGGGTCGTTCTCGATCTGGTTGAGTATGGAGGCTGGCATGGCGGATGTGAGCGCTTGGATGGCGGAGCTGAATTCTGGTTGCGTTTCGAGGGAAGAAAGGTAATTTTCGATCGAAGCGATGACCTGGGTGGGGAGGGCGGCGGGTGTGATGGTCGGGTTCGCTGCGTCTGTGGGGGCGGTTTGTGTGTTGGCGAGGAGGGTGAGGGTGGAAATGATGAGGGTACGGGTAAAGAGCATGGTTGTGGTTGGTTTGAGGAGGTTGGTCTGTGGGAGATTGTCGTGGTTTACTGTAGAAATGAGTGGTAGCGATGTTCTCAGTTGGTGGATATAGAGGGTGAAGGCGAGGAGACTGTCAATGGTTTTGAAAAGCTCGGTGTTTTGGGATGGGAGGAAGGTGCGAGCTGGAAGTCTCTTATGTATGATTGGGAGCAAAGCCTCTCAGCCATGTTTAGATGCCGACAAAAGATTCTCAGAGTAAGAATCGCGAGTCACCTAGTATCCTCGTATCGCGACTCAGCCTCATGATGTTGGCTCGTTAGCACAAGAGAAAGCATGGTACTGGTCCATACTGCCAGCGTCTACTCTAGACACGGATGGACCAACGGGAGAAGTATCGAGGGTCGACTGCACTTCGATGCTGTTGCCGTTGGTAGTCATCAGAGGGACCATGCTGCGTCGATGTCGCAGAGGTTCAGGAGCCGAAGGGTCTGGATCTTAGGTGCTAACCGTTACAGGACCAAAATATCCTTGTAAGGCCGGCCTGGTCCTCGTTTCACATTGATCACTACGGCAAGTCTCGCCTTACACAGAGCAATTGGGTAAAGCTTCCTCGGAAAGCACACATAATTTATGGCCTTGTAGGTATCAACCCGGAGATATTTCCTGTTCATGAGTAAACGTGCTGTACAAATGATGATCTAGCAGGGGAAGAAGCATCTTTGTTGTCGCCGATTCATGGATATGGGCCCAAACGCTTGTGCTGTTCATGATTGCAGGGTTTGCAAGCAGAGCGTTGAGGAGGGAAGCTGCGTCTTCAATAATGTCAAATCAACGGGTATCGACCGCAAGAGCATCTGAAGTCCATGAGTAGATGAGCAGCAGAAAGCGCGTTTAAGCGGGAAGAGGCCATTTCACTGTTGCCAATGTGGAGGCATTGCTCCTTATACATCTGCTGTTCATGGGGCAAAATGAGAAATGTGGTGGAACAAGGACAACGTTCGTGTGTGTAGGAGAAATTGATTGAATCTGATGTATGAAAGCTGCAGCAAGATATCCCCTCCGCCAAGTGTAGCTATACTACATGTGGCTAGCTAATGCAAGAAGCACTCTCCAACTAGAATGGTGGGGATAAGAGTTAGCGTCAAATGTTTCGTAGTCGTAAAACAGCAACGTCATGGACATTGGATACTAACCATCCATATTGGAAATCTTTAGCATTTTGCCTCCTTGTGAATTATAGAACCTACAGGGTCTCATTGTTAGGATCCACCAAGGGAGCAAACCTTCAGACAAAAATTCTTCACTGAAATCAGCAATCATGGATCCTACGCCTACAGACGCGCCACCCTCCTACGACGAGGTCGCAGGAACCTCAAGTCCTTCGAACAGACCTGCGAACACAAACACGAACACCTCCACTGCACACAAAGCACGCAATGGCATTCCACCACAGACCCGCCGCAGCATGGAAGACGAAGGCCGGCCTCTGCCTTACGGCTGGATCAGACAGTACGACCCGCAAAACCACCACCAATTTTTCGTCGACACGAACGTCGAGCCACCACGATCAATCTGGTGCCATCCTTATGACGACGAACAATACATGAACAGCCTAGACTCAAAAGAGAGACAAAAGATCAAGGGTTCTCTCAGAGTCCCAAGCCAGGCCGATATTGCAGCAGAAAGCAGCGATGACGACGGCGACCACCATCACCACTCCAAGCAGGCCGGTATCGGCACCGCAGAACTTCCACCCCGTGATCCCAATCCACCTACCGGCGTCACTAAGTTCGGTCGCAAGATGAAGGACAAAATGACGCACACAACCCACGAGCAGCGAGAGCAAGAACGGGCCCAGCGCGCAGAGGAGGAGCGACGAGCTTATCAGCGCCATCAGGAGTTGCGGCAGGCAATGTCAAGGGCTGCACAGACTGGAGAGCCGCAGCATGTTGGCAAGGGGAAGGATGGGAAGGATATCTACATCGAGCCTCCACAGGGCATGGGGCCGCCGCGGGGAGGCTATGGATATAATCCGTACACGCAAGGGCCGTATGCCAACCCCAATGCTACGTTCGTCAGGCCGCAGTACCCATACTCAAGACCATATGGTACAGGTTATGGTGGCGGATATGGTCTGCCGTTAGCTGGTGGACTGATGGGGGGTCTGCTTCTCGGAGACATGATGATGGGCGGAATGGGTGGAGGGATGGGCGGAATGGGTGGAGGAATGTTCTGAATACAGCCCTGTCTGCCTATATGTGCACACGGAGTTGAAGCAGCGATACCCTTTTCTGTGTACAATCATTATCATCATAAAACACGAAGCACGTTGTAGTCTCTTTCTTCCCTTTCATTGCTACAATGTGTTCAAAATGAAGACTCGGACACACTGTTCCACTGCAGTCAACATGGGGAACTAAGGATCTAGAAGCTGACAACCCGTGTTTTCTTCAAAGGTCTCTTTTTTTGCATGGATTTATAGCATTCTCTCTATTCTGCACATGATGTTTAATAGCGCGGTGACACTTGTGTCATATGGCATCTGTCCAAAAGCTTGAAGGGACCACTAGGAGTATTGAACATGCCAAGGCGCTACCCGGCTCCACTTCGGTTGCTTTGGTTGTCCAAAGTGGGCTCACGTCCAGGGTCCGTCGCGGTTGCTCCTCGACATGAGCGTTCTGCTATGTCTACATAAACAATGACACCATGAGGGATCCGGACAGTACAGAAGGTGGACAGGCGCTGCAACCTCCTCCTCGCCTATATGAGCGGCTTTCCCAACTAAGCGGCTACACATGGGATCAATCGATCCAACCATTTCACTCGGTGAGGGATGACAAGGCCTCTTAAAGTCATCTTTGCTGACTTGCTTGGGGCTAGACTTACGACAACTGGCACGTCTTTGGTCTCAAACATTTGAGCCATGAGACCTCAGGCGGCTCTTCTTTCCAAGGCATTGCAAGAACAAACTCCACCGCGAGCTCGCCTCGTCTCGGCCCACGAATTACACTCAGACATCACCGCACTGGAAGCCAAGGCACTCAAGGTACAGCAGGAACCAATGATCTGGGATCGTTACGATTAGATGGAGAGAGAACATATACTCCGGTTGTTGCTCGGATCTCGACCCATATCTTACGCATCGAACGCGAACATCATCTCTGCAAAAGCTTCATACAGACTTCGGACCCAGACATTGTACACACTGTCAAACCATTGGACCTCGTCATGTTGCCAAGCCATCAAGGAGACGAGGCAACACTTATTGTGTCGATATTCGAATCACCAGGAAGAAATTATGTGAAAGATCTGTTGGATCTCGGTCCTGCATTTCTCGCTCCGAGATTCCCTGATGGAAGTGATGTCTTTGGAAAAAGCGATGCTACCGAATCTCAGGGCCGTGTGTCCCTGTCAACGTTCCTTGATTTTGCGATTGGTGCTTGCGAGTGTCTTGAGCTCCTACATTATGGATCGAGAGTCGTCCATGGAGAGCTTAGGGCTGACGCGTTTCACTTCAATCGTGACAACGGGGTTGTCAAACTCATCAATTTTGGCTCCGGACCACGGTCATTCGAGAATGGCTTGACAAGTAGTGGGTGGATGACATTATCACGCGAAATTGGGGTCAATTACAAACTCCAGCATGTCGCCCCTGAGCAGACTGGGCGGATGCCTGCGGAGCCAAACTCGAGAACTGATATATATGGACTCGGGGTGCTGTTTTGGATCATGCTTACTGGAAGGCCTCCATTCCAAGCCGAGATCCCAATCGACATCATACAGGCGGTACTTGGTCGCAGGATCCCTCTAGTCTCGTCCGAGCGCATTGATATTCCTGATGTCATTGCTAAAATCATTCAGAAGATGACCCAGAAGCAAATGGATGACCGATATCATTCAACGAGTGGGTTGAAGTATGATCTTGTCGAGGTGCAAAGGCTGCTTGGAGAAGGCGACAATGACGGACTCGCAGAATTCAGCATTGGGTCTAAAGATGTGTCATCAATTTTTGTGCTTCCGACGTACATTGCTGGGAGAAACGAAGAGCGTGATAGGATAGTCCAAGTGATCGAAAAGGTCGCGAAGTGGCAGGAATCGTCCGAAGACAGAGGTAGACTCGGTGTCTATGCTTTTGGCTCAACCTCGGGTACCTCGGCCATGAGTGAACGTTTTGACGGTCTTGAGACTGGCACTAAGTCCAGTGATACAAGCTCGATAGCCGACAGAAATTCAGAAAGCAGCCCAGCCCTAGGTCCGTATTCCTCAACCCAAGTACTTGTGCATAGCCCCCACGACAACACTGTTGGCTCCAGTGCGGCACCAGTTGAAAAGCCTCCTCTTGAAGCCAATGACAGCAACGAATCCATTCAGACCACGATCACGCTAGAGACGCAGAAAAGTGGCCTCAAGCCAGACAGCTCTGGTATGCAACACCATGGACCAATCCAGACCCCAAGACGTCAGAGTAGCCATAAGTCTTTACGAAGACATCGTTGTGAACTTATATCTATCACTGGCGCAGCTGGCGCAGGGAAGTCAAGTTTGATCCAAAGTACGCAAGCTGATATTCGCACGTTGGGCTATTTTGCTTCCTCGAAATTCGATCCAGCAAGAAAAGCACCGTTTGAACCTCTCCTCCGAGCGATGGGATCCTTGTTCCGACAGATATTCTCCGAGAGCGATGTCAATAGCGAATACCATAATATGGTGCGCAAGCACATCCGTAGCTTGTGGCCTACGACTTGCAGCATGCTGGATATACCAGAGAGTTTGATATCGACAGACGTGCAGTACACTCATAAGCTTACAAGCTTCTCCTCGCAGCAGGGGCTCAACGGATCCCGGAGAGGCGAAATCGGCGACAACAGCAGCGCACGTAGCGCCCTCAGTGGTAATAAGAGCGCTGGAAATCAAACAGGCTCTGACTTCCTTCGCGAAGGGGCAAATCCCCGATCACTAAAATTCATGACTATCTTTGTGGAAGTTCTGCGCATCCTCTCTACCAACAAGTTGATTTGCCTGTGTCTCGATGATATCCAATTTGCGGATGAAGAAAGCTTGGATTTGATCTCCCACGTCATATTCAAGAAGCTAGGGATAGTAATCATAACGACGTGCCGAGACGAGGAAACGCTCTCAAGGCCTGTCGAATCCGTGCTGAGGAACAAAGCCGCCAACCTAACAATGATCAAGTTGTCACCCCTGAGCGAACAAGACGTTGTTAATTATGTATCTGCAACAATCTTTCGACCACCGGAGTATTGCCTACCCTTGGCAGCGGTCTGCTTAGAAAAGTCGAGTGGAAATCCCTTCTACCTGAGACAAATGCTGGAAGTCTGTCATCGAAAAAGCTGTATCTGGTACTCGTGGAAGGAATCCATGTGGGAGTATGACCTTGACAGGGTTTTTGCCGAATTTGTGTCCGATTCTTATGGTGAACAACTAAATAC